GGAGCCCCAGCCGGGCCCCACTCACAGCCATTCAAACGCCGCCGCGCGCGGCCCGCCGGGATAGCAACCCCGTGGGCAGCCCGCGGACCCCGCCCAGTGCAGGCTCCGCCCCCTCGGATGCCGGCAGGAGGGGGGAGCAGAGCGCGTGGCAGCGCCGCCCCCTAGTGGCCGCAGCTGCTCACGGACGCTCTGCGGTGCCGGTGCAAAAGAATTGCTGCTCTACGGGACGCAGGCCGCTAGGATAGAAAGACCCCGAGGGATAGGGATAATATGGTAAGGGACCACACCCGGGGCAGACAATCTGCTGTTAAAATACCGTTCAAGGGAAGATGAGCGCTCATTCTCATTCAAACGACCAGGATATAGTGGTTAAAAGCTTAAACTCTGGAACTATGCAACCTTGGACAAATCACATAAAGTGTGTGTGTGTGTGTGTGTGTGTGTGTGTGTACGTGTTTGGCTTCCTCGTCTGTAAAATGGGAACGATAACAGCGTATCTGCCTCTTAACCTCAAATGGGTTAATACATACAAAATTATTTGGAGAGTACCCGGCTCCTGGTAAGCTCTATATAATTCCTGACTATCTTGTTTTGTTTCCTGTTATGTGTCAGACTTCGAGAATATCTTTAACTATTCTTATAAACTTTATTATTTAAAAATAACTTGCAACTCCCAGCCTCCCAAACCCACAGAATACTGCAAAAAACTTCAGATGATAAGGCCCTCCTCAGGAAGCAGGTTTGGTTTCGTTGGGATGGGAACACTTGACTTTGAGATTACGATTGGTTCTGTCCCTGACATGTTTTTAATTACTGAAGACAATTCTCTCAATCAGAGACTAGTCAGGGCAAGTCTCTGGTCAGGGTTACCAAAACGGAGACAGTAAGTTTGTCTGCTGTGGCTGTCTTCCCCTGGGCAGAAGCAAGCAAGAAGGGCATTTGATGGAAGTCTTTCTCAGTCAGACTACACATCCCGTGGCTCACTCTTTTAAGAACTTTTAGGGACTAAGGAAAGGGTTGCTTAAATTAGGTCCAACATATTTAAAAACTTCCTCTGTGCCTAGGAGGCACATCTCCAGGTGCTGGGGACAACAGGAAGTGCCTGTCGATGACTTGGAAAGTCAGAGAGCGACAGTCCCAATACACCGCACTGAGTGAAGTCATGAAAGGTATATTCTAAATGCTGTGGGCATTCAGAGCACTAATTGGGGCTGAGGGGCCATTAGGTGACTATAATGTAATGTATTTCCTTCTGCAGTATCGGGGCTCCTACTTAATCCAAAAAAAAATGTAATGATGAAAATTTGAAGCAACCAGTTATGGCAATGGGAAAATATTTTTCGCATGCTTTGTGTGAGCAATGTCTTTGAGCGTTTCTCAGATGATGCCAAGCACAAGCAGGCACATGCCTCCGTGTGTGGCCACACCTGTCAGCTCCAGCTGGCTGGGTGAGTGAAAGGAACCGGGGCAAGGCAGGCTGCTTCCTAAGCATGGCTGCTACGAGGTAGGTGGTGGTGGTTTAAAGTTTAACACACCTGAAGTCACTTTCCCTCAAGGTATTTCTTCACCGTCACGAGCACGAATTTCTCGATGGCCCACTATGCAATAAAGAGCTTTGCCGGTCCCTCAGCGGAGGAGACTAAAGAGTTAAGACCTGTTCCTAACCTCAAGAGCGGCTAGGTGGTGTGGCAGCAAATAGCAGAGACCCAAGACCGCTTCATTAACAGAAACATCTCATCAAAAATAAGCAGTCCCGGTGCCTAAAGACCAGAAAAGAACGTCAATGTTCTCATTTACGGAACCTGTTAAAATACAGAGTCTCAAATGGGTTCTTTTTCGAGACCCAGACTCTAAGGTATACACCAGCAATGAGCTGCCCTGGTTTCCCAACTCTCATATTTTAGCACAAAGATGAAAGAAAACTGCGTGGTATTGAAACCTTTGAAATACATATGAATTGTACTATGCTGATCCTGAAAGCACCAATACTTTTCCCATCAATAAAGTTGATCTTTTTTCTTGGTACCCAATAAAGTTTGATTCTTTTAATGAAAGAAGCATAGCATGGGTCCGGGGAAATATCTTGTTGGTGTATAGAGCTTGCCTTGCAAGCGCAGGGACCTGAGTGCAATCCTCAGAATCCATATTTTAAAAGCTAGGAGTGACGGCTCATGATTATAATCCTTGTAATGAGGAGGTGGAGACAGGTAGACAGACACCTGGGCTTGGTAGACTACTCTAAAAATAAGAGGAGGGAGATTGTGGTGTGCAGGGGTACTTGCTTTTAAATTCCCGCACTCAGGGGTATGGAGACCCAGGAAAGAGGCAAGCAGATCTCTGAGGTCTGGAGCCTGGTCTACAGAGTGAGTTTCAGGGCAACCAAGGTTACACAGAGAAACCCTGTTTCAAAAAAACAAAAGGAGGGGGCAGCAAGATGGCTCAGTGGATAAGGGCACTTTGCTGACTTGGGTTTGAGATCCAGCACTAATGGAACCCACATAAAGGTAGATGGAGAGAACCAACTAACTACACACACACACACACACACACACACACACAACACTCGTGCACCATATTTTTTTTTTTAAAAAAGACAGTGCCAGGAGTGTTGATTGTTTTCTGTCCTGCCCAGTCCTTGTTCTGCCCAGTTCCCACAGTCATTTTGTCTGAGACTTCTGACCTGCTTGGTTTCTGTCCTCTCACTAGGTCCCATAGCCATTTAGCCCCAAAGAAATCACACAGAGTTCTATATTGTATAAATTGATTGGTCCATTAACTCAAGCTTCTTATTAACTCTCATAATTTACATTAACCAATTATTCTTATCTATGTTAGCCACATGGCTCAGTACCTTTTTCAGCAAGACAGGTCACATCTTCCTTCTGCTGTGTCTGAGAAGGACTGGGGAAGGAGCTTCCTGATTCCCAGAATTCTGTTCTCATTGACCAGCCTCTACTTCCTGTCTGGTAGTCCTGCCTCTACTTCCTGCCCGGCTACTGGCCAATCAGCGTTTATTTAAAACATAATTGACAGAATTCAGAATTGTCCCACACCACCAGGAGTGGGAAGAGGAGGATCAGAAGTTTGAGGCTAGCCTGGGCTAGACATTTTTCTCTTCCCCTTGGTCAGTATTCAGAAAACCATCTCCAAACACAAACCAACAGAAATACATACCCTGCAAACTTCATTGCCAACACACCACCCTTCCCCCACCCCCTGCAAAATGACCAGGTGTGGTGGCACACTACTTCAATCCCAGGACTTAGGAGGCAGGGGTAGGCAGATATCTGGAAGTTTAAAGTTAGCATAGCTTATGTACTGAGTTCCAGAGCAGCCAAGGCTGTGTAGTAGGAACCTATCTCAAAACAAAGAGACAAACAAAATGTAGACAATGGTGCCTTTAGGAATGACACCTGAGGTTATCCTCTGGAGTCTACATGCACACACATGCACACACACAGACATGTACCTGCAATCACGTGAGCATAAGTAAGAATAACCCATGTATTCTTTTTATACCCCAACATGAATATTTATAAACAAATGGTGGCTAGTTCCAGATGGCAGCGGGCCGGCTGCAAGGGATTCTGCTCCTTATCTTTTCCTTGCAAGCGAACAGGCAGCTGAGTTGGTCTTCCTGCCTCATTTGCAGAGAATTGCAGAAGAGTGTGAGACCACTCGGTGGCAATGTGTCAAGAAACCCATATCCACAGACAACCGTAGGTAATGAAGTCTATGTGAAGATCTCTGTACACCACCTCTTAGTGGAGTTAGGGGTGAGGGGGTGAAAGAGGGTTTGAACTGGGCCTGACATGCTGGTCAGGATTCTGACCGCTCTGCTGTTCTAGAGAGAGAACAGGAAGTAGGCACTAAGTGCAAGGATCGCTGTCTGCCCTATGTGAGCAGAGTGAAGACCGCTTCGGAGACTGGTGGGCATGAAGACCGAAACCTACACAGCAACCCAGAATATTGTAAGCACCTGGGTTTATCAAAGACGGTGGTTGGAGGTGCTTGAGAATTCAGCAGAAACTGCTAAGCAGGGTAGTGATGGTTACTTCATTCTTCTGAGGACTGACCCATCACCAGGGTGCCGAATGACCTGGGAAGGGCAAGGAGGGCTGGCAGCAACCATAGGTATGAAGATTTGGATTGGAGGTTTAGGGAACTGAAGTAATGATGGCCTTGTAGGTGGTGTTCATCCACTTGAACTGACACTAAGATACAGTGCCCACAGCAACAGATCATCTGTTCCACGAGCAGCTTCCACTGCTCTGCTTCAAGCACCTCTGGGAAGTTCCAGCCAGTTAACTTTGGCAAAGTCAATCCCCATCTTCCTGTGCAGGCTGTGGAAGGAAGTAGCAGCAGCGCCAGATAAGGCAGCTTCTGGCTTAGCGGACTCGTGATTGTCTCAAGCATTGTAATGCCAACACCCTGCTTTGTGCTAGTAATAACAGCTTTGTTTGTTTCCGGTGGATAGGCGAGGGAAGAATTAAAGGACTTGGGGGCTCTCTCGAGAGGACAACGTATCTCTGATGCATCTACAACTCTCTTATAGCCAGGAAGCAGTGCATTTTAGAGAAGACATTTGAACCTATCAACAGCTCAAATCCTAAGTGCACGATTCTCTTACAAAATTGTACCCAAGAATGTTCACAACAACGTGTGTGTGTGTGTGTGTGTGTGTGTGTGATAGTGAAAGATGGGAACAATCTCAATGTTCATCAGTTGGAGATTGACAAAGTTTGAATGCACCCATGCCACATAGATTTTGCATCCTCAGCACACAATCACCTAGATCTAGATCTGAATAACAGACATGGAAGACATCCAAGCAGATTAAATAAAAAAGAGTAAGCTAATAGAGTTTAGTATGTTCCTATTAATGTAATTAGTAAATCAAATACTCCATCCGTAAATGTATTTTTATTGTCATTTATTTGTGTCTGTAGGTCAGTTTTCTTTTTCCATCATGTGGATCCCAGAGATCAAGCTCAGGCTGTCAGGCGATTTTATTCACTGAGCCTCTCTCCAGCTCCCCATACATGCGTTTTAAGGAATGATTATCTTTTGAAGCATTAAAAGTTACTGAGTTCTGCTTCCCCCTCTGATTAGTTCCTTGGGCTGATCTAGTAAAGTATGAGTGACTTAGATGTCAGAAACTTAAGTTCTTACTATTCTGCAAGCTGGGAAGCTCAAGATCAATGTGTGGGTTAGTTCAGTCCCGAGGTTAGGGCTCTCTTCGTGGTTTGCAGATGGCTGCTTTCTTGCTGAATTCTCACTCGGCAGGGATGGGGAGAAGGCTGTTTTCAGTATTTTCTCTCTTCTTCCAGGGTTACTAATGCAATTATGACAACTCCGCCCTTATGACTTCATTCAATCCTAAATGCTTCTCAAAGCCCTATCTCAAAAAAATATCACACTAGGGATTAGGATTTCAACATAAGACATCTGTGAGAGACCCAGACATTAATTAGTCCATCACAGTCCTTCAGAAATCTAAGGTTGTAAACAGCGCTTTGTATTTGAACTGATTGCTGTTTTAAAAATGGACACAACGGGATTTTTTTCTAAAGGTCTTGGCTTGGTCATTCTGATTTAGACACACTTTAGTCCACGTTCAAGAGGCTTAAATCACTCACTGGGATGAATGGATGCAGCCAGAGTAACGAAACTTGGAGAGACCGGCTAGGCCATCATGTTATATCATTATGACTCATGCTACGGTTGTAGTCATTCTCATCCTTTAATGGGTTCTGTGGGAATGGCAACCCTCCCAGCTTCCTCAGCAAGTGCTGGAGGAAAGCATACTATAATGAGAATTTGTTAAGATGTGAATTGCACAACACCACTCTTGAAATGAAGAAAAGGTAATGGCCAAGAATGGTATGACTAAATCAACATCATTTCAGAACACCGCTCTACCAGTCTGTTTCACCTTGGCAGGAGCATCTCATGTCATTGCAATCATAAACAAGAAAAGGAAACTTCTAAAAATTAGAATCCCTGTAGCTATTAAGTGGCCATCCAAGAGTAATTAGTAAGGTATGGTCTCCCAGCCCCCCAACATGATTTGAAAACCCAAACAGACAAAACGGAGGGTGAAAGTTTCCATTTAAGACCCTATTACTAACAGAAAAAAAAAATGCATCATGAAAGGAGGTCTTTGAGAGTCAATAATGATAACAGAGTCAAAATAGCAAGGATTTGCAAAGACGACCCATTTATTGACACAGCAAAGAGGTTCAGGGGCTGTTAGAGCATGCTGGGCTAACTGGTTGGACAAGAAAGGGTAGTCAAATAGGATTATAGAGATACTGCCAGACACTCCAAAAGAAAACTGATGACGTATCTCTAAAAGATCTCTCTCTAGAGGTATCCTTCCTTGCAAACCTGTCTGATTAAAAAGTTTCCCCATTCAGGTTTTAACCCAAATGCAACTAGCTGGAGACGAATGGCAAGAAACAATTTTTCTGACACCTAGGAGGAATCAAGGATGAACTACAGAAACCAACACAAGAGAGGCTTGAGGGTTTCAGCTCCACAATACAACAACCGTCTAGTGTGTATCAGGCCCTGGGCTTGATCCCCAGCCCTGTAAGATACATACAAACGTGCAAGTATCACACATTATAATAGTCAAACAAAATAACCCACGAGCTACCAAACTGAGTTTTGTGTTTTGTATAATAAAATAATGGTTGCTCAAAAATACAAAGTAAGAGAAATTTGATGTTTATTTTACAGTTTCAGTATCTCAATTTTCCTGAGTTTCCCAATTCACTTCTGGTCCACTCAGAGGTACACAAAGAGGCTCTCAAAAAAAAAAAAAAGCCTCTCAAAGAGGCTTGAATTCAGTTGTAACAACTAAAACTTTATCATTTTAGAGTAATAAAAGGCTTTTGTTCAGTGATTTTTAAGTCTTTCTGTACAGTACTATCAAAAGAACCACAAGAAATGCTGATGCCCAGAGCCCACCCT